GAGTGCTGATGTGTCTGCTGTGTGTGGTTGTTACTTGTTACTGAGGAATAAATATGAATGTGTTTGTGGTGTGCAGGTCAAGCTGGCTGCAGGACACAAGTTTGACAGAGATGTTGAACTGCTGATTTATTACAAAGACGCCCACCAGCCCACTGCTGTGGTGGAGGCAGGACAGGCCTCTGCTGAGCCGGGTGAGTGAAAGTTTTTAGTTTGCAAATACACATTTCATTATCCTTACTTCTTAACAAACAGTTTATGTGTTGGAATAAAAAGCAAATTTATGTAATTTTCTTTTTTTGTCTCTCATTTTCAGGCTCTCTGATGGGTGATCCAGTGGTGATGGTGAGTCTGTACCCTGAGTTCCCCCAGTCTGTGATGTCTTCAACGGCTCCATGTGGAGAGTTTGTGTTCTTAGTGGATCGATCTGGAAGTATGGGATTTAGGAACCACGGATTTCCTCGCCAGACTCGCATCCACAGTGCCAAGGTATTCATAATAAGTTTACTCTGAAATCTTTAATTTCATGATGTTCCTCTCACACAGTGGCCTCACCATCTTTTCCCTCTTCCCTTAAGGACACTCTACTGCTGCTGTTGAAGAGTTTACCAATTGGCTGCTATTTCAACATTTACAGTTTCGGGTCCAAATATGAACACATCTTCCCGTGAGTCTCTGCCTCACATCAGTCAGCCCAACAAAAGTCTGTTTTTGATACGAAGTACATGTACTTGTGTATTGGTGTTTGTGTAATGACAGTAAGAGTGTGGAGTACAGCCAGAAGACCATGGAGGAGGCTCTGAAGAAAATAAAGAAGATGAAGGCTAATCTTGGAGGAACAAAGATCCTCAAGCCCCTCAAATATATTTACAGCCAGGCCTGCATTCCCAATCAGCCCAGACAGGTAACACAGGCATATACACTGACATTACACTGACTATTAATGCACTTTTTTTTTAACGCCCAGCTTGAACAGTTATACAAAGTTAGTGTAGTGTCCAGGAAACAGTTCTGCTCTTTTGTTTGCTTGTTTATTGTGTATTACCATGAAAGTATTTTTG